TTAAACAGCTAACCTAAACTATCTCTAATTACACAGAACAGTACATTAAATTCTGACTGATACAACAAAAACTTATCAAAAGCAATATTTTCTCAAACCATGCATCTAAACTGTACTTGTAGTCTGATTAAGACTATCATAAGAATCAATGTTTGTTATCTTACATCAAAAGTGATCAAAAGTGGATGTGATCTAGCTATTTTAGAACTAGTAAACTTAAGTACCGACTACCGGTACTACAAATTCAAATTATTTAAAATCTAATTCTAAAACCAGTTCAACATTTATTGAGCATTTATTAAATGAAATTTTTTATCAAAATTGAATGAAACAATCAAATATTCTGGATAGTGAGAGACGGTTAGCCTGAAACTCTCCAAATCTAAAAAAAAAAAACTATCCCTGACTTATTTCACTTATTCCAGTCAATGCCAATGGAATGGTTGTTAGTATAATTTCAAAAAGTGTATCAACATCATGACATAATATTAATGAGGCATGGCACTGCCATAATGGCAGCACACAGACACTTATATCATCAAACCAAGCTAAAACAAAAATTTCTTACACACATACAGTGAATATGCGTATGATGGATTAAAGAACAATTTCAACTCTGAAAACACGTGGGATGGGCCATGCCATATCCGTATATTTACAAAATATACCTATCCCTCGGGCAAGCACGTGGCAAATCCGATCAAAACAAACCACGTTCTCTCAAAGCAAAAGGCATCATCAGCATGATCATCGAGACAACCCCTTAAAATATTACTCACATCTGTAATGTAATCAAGAAAGTGTGAGAATTACCATGATACGACTTTGAACTGTAATCAGACTGTGATTAGGGAAAATCCACGAGGTCATAGACCTCGCAGTCGCAATTTCTGATAAGTATTCACGGATGTGGAACAGTCGCTGGCTGGAGAATTTCCACACCACGATGTCTCAACTTCTCGCGATAGAAAATGATAAAAAGTGAGAAGTCAAATCGACTTCAATTAAAAATACAAATCGACCTGACTTAAAAGACAAGTCGACATGATGGTCTAGTTTATTCAATCAATTTATTGAAAAATTTCATAGCACATTCCAAATATTTTTCTGTGTAGTTTTTATAATTCTAAATCTATTCATTATTGGTCACATTAAAAGAGAAGCTTGGTTACGAATTTGTTAAACACGTGAGTACGAACTGTTATCAATAACCATTCATTTCCAATGGCTACGGACGACGCTAGTTTTCTGTAAAAAATCAAGGTTTGTGGAATTAAGATAAGACATCACCTCTAAATAATAACTTTCATGTCTAAATAGGAATTAATTGTGGTTATTTAAAACAAAGGCGTGTCCTGGAACTCGTGTACATTCGCATTGGCATTTTATTGAGTCTGAGTGTTGACTAAAAAGACTAAAAGTATAAAAATAGGCCTAAATAAAGTGAAAAAAATGTTTGAGGGGAGGGGAGGGGAGAGCTCTTTAGGCTATTCATAGAACTGTATACTGTATACTACTATGCAAATAGCCTATATCATGACAGAAAAGGGAGTTTCATTGCATATGATATTAGCTTATGAAAATGAATTGTAGGGTACGCTAAATATTCTTTCTGAAATGGCAATTGTTGACATGTCAACGAGTTTACTAGATACCATCATTATCACTGGTAATAAGAGTCCACTTTATTTGACTTGACTATCTTCTTGAATTCATCTTGACAATCAATTTTAAATCATTTTATCTTTATGTGAAATATTTTTTCTCTGAAAACTTTTGATTAAAGTATAGATCTACATGTATTTTTTATTGCAGTTAAAATGGTTTGAGATTTAACTTTAAACTAAACCTCATCAAGAATGAGTACAGAATTGATAAGTTATGAGTTTCCTGTAGCTTCTATTAATAAATGTAATGTCAGATGTCATGGTGTACCTAGAAGATATGAAGAAACCAAACCAGTTAAAATACAAAACTTTACTCATCAGAGAATTTTAGGTTTGATTATTTCTAATCTTTAACTTTCTGGATCAGTATAAGCTCCATATCCACTTTTCTTCTCAATCTGTGAAACACTGGCTAAGAGATGTTTCCTGTTTATGAAAGTTATCTGATACTAATTTATCCTCTCTTTTTAAGTCCTGCTACTTTTATATGTTTTGAAACAGATAATTTAAATTATCTAATTACTCTTTATCCCTTTTTTTAGGTATAGGAAACCAGATTCATCTGAGGAGTTTACACAGTTTTGAAGAAGACAAGCAACAGCGCATAGAAAGGGCAGAGAGTAAGGTGTGGCTTGAAGCTCAGAAACTTCAAGAGGCAAATATTGAACGTGTGCGAAATGAGGCTAAGAAAGAATTAAACCAGGTTATTCAATTGCTTACAAAAGAATATGAACAGAAAATCAAGGTGAGTAGGCCCTAAGCTTTTGCTGTAGTTATTGCCAAAATGATATGTAATGATACAGAATAATTGTTTTATTTCAAGTACATCCTGTGAAAAAATTTATTGTCGGACTGCATACTTATGTAGATGTAGATATCTACTATTCAGATGCAATATTAAAGGGATTGTATAGAGATTTTCTAGCCTTTTCATAAGTATCAGAGACACCTTTGACTTTTATTTGGGACATTCCAATTCTTCTTCGCCTGTGGTTCCTGCAATTCAAAGGAGTCCTCGATACACATAAAAAGGCTAGAAAACCTCTTTACAATCCCTTTTAGTAAATAAGCCATAAGCACCAAGTTCCATGTTTGGTATTAATATTAGTCCATATTCACATATTGACTGGGATAGACTTTTACCAGTACATTAATAGAAAATTCAAAAGTTTCAGTCAGTTTTTTTCAATCTACTAGTCTATATCTAATACATATTGAATATTTATTTTAGGAAGAAGCTCTCAAGGTTGAGATGGCCATGCAGAAACTCTCTATAGAGCAGATAAAGGAGGAGAGAAGTAAGGGAGAGAAACAACTGAGAGATGCCGTCAAAGAAACTGAAGAAAAATGTAGTAAACAACTCCAGTTAGCTGTTGAGAATGCAAGAGAAGAGGAGAAGAAGATAGCACGCACAGCAGTGAATAAGCTTAAAAGGTTAGCTTGATGTTGAATAATATTATAGCTATCTCATTATAGTATAACGCCTCTTCAAACAATATAACTTGAATGTTAACATCTCTGTTTCAGATTTTTAAGATGATTTAGTTAGAACTGCAGACTTATTTTTTTGAAGGAATCTACATATGGAGAGGCACACTAGGTATCAATTATGTGTCTGATGCCATATGGCATGTTGTCCCCTACAATCTGCAATATTAACGGGGGGCAAATGAATTTTCTCAAAGATATCTTACCAGCTGTGAAAATCACACTTCGATATAGTTTAACATAAACCATGTTTGTATAAGACAGTAACTACGTCTTCAACATACGTTATTATCCTCCTAATAACATGATGACCTTCAGCTAATATAATGCAATCAATATTTCAGGAAACATTCAGCTGAAATGGAAGAATTAAAACTCCAATGCCAGAATGAGAAAGAAACAGCTTTAGAAGAATTATCCAGTCAGAAATATAAGGAAAGACAAGAAGCTGTTCAAGACGCAATCAACAAAGAAGTCAGAAAGGCCAACCTTGAAATAGAAGAATTAAAAGAGCAGCATGAAAAAGACATTTGCGATATTCAAAATGTCATCACTTCCAAACTTCATGTCATTGAAAAATTAAAGCAAGAAATAATCCAAGTTCTCAGGTCTAAAGCTAAATTAAAACAGTGTTTAGCAGAAACTCGTGAAGAATTCCAGAATTTTATCAACAAAATGAAGTATTTTGATGAAGGACAGTCTGATTTCTTACTTCCTAATCTTGATCTTCAGCAGTTTGAAGATGACAGGCCAAATTAATTCTGATTTGAATCCAATATGATTTAAACACAGCTCTTAGTATTTTAGTTCATTTTCTGCAGATTAATGAATGAATTTTTCTGTATTAAGAGCTGTATTTAAATGGGTAGATTAACAATGATAAGAAATTTTAGGAAATAGTTCTAATAGGAATTATAGCAGGTAAAATTGAAGTGAAGCAAATTTGACAAACGCATAGTAGTGTTTTTGTTGCTCTAATAGGGCTGGTAAATAGGCTATTACCATGAAAATACAGTTTTTTTGTACTTGATGAGGCCTGTTGGTGCCTTCTTTTTCTGAATTTGTTAGAACTACAATTTTAAAATTGTATGTTGCTATATTGTTTTTTGTTATTGTGATTTAGATTGACAAGTCAGTTTTAATCAAGTTGTATTGGAGAGTTTATAAGATTAAGATTGTTGGACTTAATAACATTTAAAAATGCTGGGCTGGAATATCAGGTACAATTAATGCAAAATTGCTAAGACCTTATTACATGGAGAAATATGAGGTTTTTGTTAATCGATTTTTTTTATCTTATTTGAGTTTTTTTGGTAGAATAATGCCCACGGACTATTTCTTACAACGATTATTAAAATATGTCTCAATTGTAAAAGTTTATCATGTGATGTTTTGAGTGCCAATTTGTTCAAATTAATTTATTTTTATAATAGTTATATTTAGATATTATACTATTTATATTTTCAGATATTTATTGTTTTCTAAGATATCGCATGTTTTTGGAAATGATACGAATTGAGTTTTGGGTCCTTCCTTACTCTTGGAAAGGCAAAGTTATGCAATGTGCACTTGCTTGGAGGAAATTTTGGATTAACCCTACTTTCATTTTGAATTTGAAAAACAACCTGAAGCAAACCCAGGATTAATTTCCCATATTTATGACAAGACCTGATACAAGGTTCTGCATGACCTGAAAGGGGGGAAAGCAGGTTGAATACTCTACTTATCATTTGTACTTATGCTCTTGGAATGTGAGTTAAAATGTTATTTCAAGAGAAAATCTTGAGCCACCTGAACAATGAAAAATAATTATTTCATAACCCCTATAATGTGAGTCAATTATATAAAAGAACTAACAACTTTACAATTTATTAACTAAAGTATATACACAAACACACTCTATCATTGTTATATACTTCATCATAGTTTATTTCACAGATAGCTGATCACCGAACAATTTACAGACTTCTTGTCGAAATATTTCAATATTTGATATTTTCTGCACCACTTCTACCATATTTAGCCTCCCATCTCTCAATATATTCTTGCTTCATCTGTTCTCTTTTAGCGAAATATTTAGGAAATAAAGCTTTCTCTAAAGGATGCCAGTAGTCAAATATCTAGAAGAGAAAAACAATATATATATTTTTTGGAGAAGAAAAATTTAGAATGGATTCGCTCACATCTACTACTCTCTGACTGCATTGAGCTCTTAGAATGTCTTCAGGTCCATAATATAAGGTTCAGTGATTTTACAGACACACTTCTCTTTGAGAAAATTTAGGTGAAATACTTTTCTGAATGAAAATTCCCCTCATATTCACAAATAATAATTTTTCCAGTGGTTGATATTTTCATCAACCCAAAGGTAATCCACAACTCTCAGTAGCATTTTGTTATTGATATTTCAATTCATATAAAAATAATTGCCAGAATGTGACTCAGAAAACATGTAATCCTTGCCCAACATAATGAAATTGGAAGTGTGCAAATCCATGCTATCATTTAGAAACCTGTTACAATCCCTTTAAAACAAAGAAAGTAAAACTCACTGAATCTGGAGGAATAGGACTCCTCTCATAAGCTATACCACCAGGACAGTTGTTATCTGAAATTATTGAAAACAGTTCATGGTGTAACTTTTGGATTTGATACTATAATAATAATTAAAAAAAAAAAAATCTGCATCATTGATCTCTACATTAACAAAAACATACGATATATTAGTCTGTTGTATAGCATTATTATAATAACATAATATTGTATTATTAGCATTCAAATAAGCAATTATTATCAATATGTCATAATATTAGTTATAACTGCACAAAAGAAGCAAATATTTACACAATTATTGTAGCCTTATAAAATACTGTTGAGAGGGCATACTATATTTTACAGGTAGAATTTTTTTTTTTATTCTAATTTGTGAAATCTGCAGAAATGTGTCCCTTAACATATCTGATATTTCAACTAAAGACATCCAGCCTTAATTTTCTTAAATGCTAAAACTATTCAAAAAGTTTATGTAAACTTTAAGTTAGTTCTTTTTTTTGGAAGCTCTTTGAAAACTTCTGTACCAATTGATCAAGTTGATCCATAGATGTAAATATATCATACTTTAGAAATATTTTCAGGTATAATTGATGTTTTTGATAATACACATTTTGCAATATATTGCCCCTTTAACATTAAATGGGTTTTTTTTTTCATTGCTTGTAACACATAATAATGAAAGATTTATCACATTGATCAAATCAAAACTAATCTTGACACTCATAAGTTCCTTATTTCAAATACCAGACGCATCTATTTTTAGGTCAGTAATGTTCTAATTTAAATCACTTAAGCCTACTATCCATAGTACAATCTTAAGTGACGTAAAGTTGCTTTTTAACAAAAACTCAAGCTACCCTTGTTCTAGTAATATTGTGCTATCAAAAGTGGATTGCCCTCCTGAATAAACTATATGGTGCTCATATGTGAGCTTATATATTCAGGCCTGTTCATTTCTTTCAATACTTACACTGTAGGGGTTTATTGTGGGATTTTCTAAATAACTCCTCTTCACCGAGTGCAAGTAACTTTTTAGCTTTTGAGACATCATTTAATTCTTTATGTCTGTCGAACCGATCTCTCATTAGTACTGATTGATATCGTAATTCATCTCTGCAAGGAAACGTCAAATAATTATTTTTTAGTGTCATGAATTCTAGCTATGCAACTTACTGATACTGGTACCTCATACTTCACCCCCATAGTTATGTTAACTCTTTGAATTTTTTAAGATACCAAAAAAATATGAAAAACATACTTTCATACAAATTCTAGGATATGCGCTATCCGAAAAAGAGAAGGAACTCCTCAGACTAAGACATGAGGAAGGGGGGGATAAATTTTGCGAGAGATCTCATTCTATGATGACAGGAAAAACGAGACTAGTAACATAAAACTATGAAATGCTTTCCTCATGAATCTTTATGATAATTTATTTCATTTCTAAGGAGTGATTTCTTATAACCTTGTTGTTGTAAGATTCGGCCTTGACTTAGAAACTTTCGTTTTATAATGAACGACCTATTTGACCGACGAATGCAAAATGCAATTCCTGTCGACTGTCGGTAAAAACAAGAAAACACAACAAGACAAGACATACAAATATAAATTTTTTACTTCAAAAAGTTGGAATGGAATATTACCTGGTTGGATAATTATCACGTAAAGTTCTCAGAGCTAATTTGTACAATCTACGAACTCTAGCAGCATGCGATAAAACATTGGTCTGTAAATAGTTCGTCGCCATCTTATCTGTGTGTTCGTTTACACAACTCTACCTCACCTGTCCTAGAAAGCGTCACCTTCGTTTTACTCTTATAACTGATGTGTGCCGTAAACCAAAGTCGAACTTGTTAAAACAATATCTCCAACGTTACGATTTCTTATGTGGTTCGGTCGTTGTTGTCGTAGAAGTCCTATGAAGAAAAGAAAGGTAGATCATAATATACCCCTAAGAGTGACGTGCAGCCCTATGAATAAGATTATATACTTAGCAATTGAAGTATACATGTCACAAACAGATTAAAATCAATCACTAAATAAATTTCAATGAACAATTGAAATTAACTAGCAGATAATTCTATTTTCAAAGATCTCCAAAGTCCTTAATTGGATTAAGATTTCCATTAAAGTTGCCTATAAGAAAGGCCGTGGTTAGATCTCTCCAAATAAAATTGAATGCAATAATCAATTAAATTTAACAAGTCAAAAATAATTGGAAGTACAAACAAACCACATTTATTTGTAACCAACGGCTACTTTTCCTGATTACTAGTTCTTGATATTTTAATTTGGATTAGACTTAGATTTAAACAATAACTATACTTTCATTTCTACATTTTTTTCTTTAATTTTAACAGTTTTTTTTTTTTTTAGTTTAGGAATACTCCGATAAGAAGAAAAAGGACGGACAGAACCAGGCAGCTATAACGAGAGAATTTTACAAGACAGCGACATAGTCTAGACTTGTTCGATTTCACAAGCATCGCGAGGACTCTTTAAAGTAACACGCACAGTCTGTATTATAGTGTACGCTGCCTATGTTTATAGGTGGGGCCTCAGAGTTGCTAATTGTAAAACTGAATTTTATAATTCAAATTCAAAAACTATACAGAAACATTAACAGAATCTAAACAGCATTTCTCTGATTTTAATATTGGAGCTCTATACCTCTTTAACATTGTGAGCGATTGATAACACTTTGTCAACTCTAGGCGCCTTTTCTTATAAGAGTGCACCCACATAACAGTTCAATAAGGCACTTTTATTCAATTCCTTTTATTAGACCTATCATAGCCTATATATAAATATGACGGTAAACTATAGTCTTTATCTCATAATTCACACAGGGAATTCTATTAATTTCTTACATTCACATTAAATCAAGAGGAAGACTTCTGTTGATCTTTATTTTGGCATCAAACTCAGAAAAAATGATGTTTGTAAAATAGCCAAGAATAGGTTGCTATATAGCGAGATTCCAGGGAGGTTTTACGTATAGCCTATATTTAATACTGAGTGAGTGAGTGAGAGAATGGTCGCGTGTAATCTGGAGTATAACAGTCTTCAGTTACTCTGTTAGATTTTAAACTTTAAACCTTCCAACAGAAAATATATTTCATTCTATAAACATGGGCTGCAAATAGAACCTTCTGTTGATAATACAACACAGTTTATATTATGGTAAGACATTTTTATATTTTTTTGCTTAATAATTCAAATTCCGGACTGCAAGTGTCGATACAAGATAATATGATGTATTTCAATTAAGCTCAATAATAACGACTCTTTTTGAATTTTGTAATTTTGAAGTATTGCGTGACTCCATTAAGGTATTGTGTGATGGTTTTAAAATAAATTTAGACATATTAGAAATACCAAATTTCTCGTGTTCAGGTAAAACACAATTTTTGCTGGTAGAAATATATCTTTTTACACTTTTTACCAATTTAAAAGTTCTTGTAGGTATCCTTAAAGCGATAGGTGTGCCATTTTTTAGGTGTTTTGAGTGTTGTATATAGTCTTCAGAAGTATTAGAAATGTAAGAAAATCGCATAATTCCTTTAACACTCCTAACCATGGTATCAGAATATTACATGTATTTTGTTTTTAGGGAGACAAACCCAAAACACCCAATCGTCCAATCGTCTGCTGATGACAATAATTCCTTTACAGATGAAACCTAAAATGTCTGTAAAATATCCTTTAAAACATTAGAAGCATTTGCTATCCATAGCCTGCATGTTTTGCACATGAAGACATCCCTATGAAAATTGGATTGATACAGGGATACAGGTCTCAAAATATTGGAACTCACTGAAAAGGTGACTTTATGAACCTCTTATAACAGGATATTACGGTACCAGGCCCCCGTCTCTCAAATAATACCATGGTTGGCAATTTGTTTGATCAATTACCCGCGTTTGAAAGTTAAAATGACGACTCGTCTTTTCTTGAGACTCTGCCTTATATAGAAAGTGAAATTCCTAATCTGAGACATTTTGAAGGATTATGCGATTTTCGTACATTTCTAGCATTTCTGAAGACTATTTACATATATTCAAGACTCAAATCAACCCCCAAAATGGCGAACTTGTACCTTTAAAGTTTTGGAGGATAAGGTCCCAGGAAACTGTATAAGGGCTTTTACAAGTCCTCAAAGATACATGTTATATAATAGTATAATTGCAAGTTAAACAATTTGTGAATACAAATAATATCTGGATAATCAAAAAGACTGATCTGAATCAACTATTTTTTATGTCAATAATGTTCATCTGATGGATTGATATAGTGTTGAGATAAATCATATTAATATGTCACATTATTCATGTGTAAATACAATTTTTTAAGGCATTGGTGCAATGGAGATAATATTTCAGAAGAAAGGAAACGACTAAAGTTCAGTTATATTACATTCCCATGAGAGTAGTGCCCAGATAGTAATCAGTATGTCACTTTATTCAACTGTTAATTAAGTCAATGTCTTAAGACAGTTACTACTAGTTTTGACGAATTTGATAATTTTAAAAAGCTGTGAGTTGTGGCATTCCATTCAGGAAGTACTAGTGCTATAAATTAAACACAGATTTTCGAATTTTCATTATTAGCTTGATTTCCAACTCTTCTACGACTAATATATAATTACACAAAAAAAACACCCTGAAAATTGGCTCATAATGCCACCTTAATACTAGCTCCTTCCAGTGTGTTAATCTGAGATGATGTCGGTATCATAGCATTGGGCTAATATCATGATAATCAGATAAGTTGTGATAGAATCACTCTTAATACACCTCTCACGTTACATTTTAATTATCTACTAATCTAAAGACAGAAAACAATAATTATTATCATAGAAACTAATCATAAATATCAATATCTGTTACCATGGTAATATATACATATCGTCATAAATAATAATCTTCACTTATACATATAATATACCACTCGACAGCTCACCATAACTACATGTAGTTCAGAGGTCATCCATGTCTCACCTCGGCGATGCAGAAAGTACATTAAGAACAGATTGGAAGTAATACTTAGCTACTTACACTACACATTCGTTTTCTTTTTACTTCCTTGCTTTATTTTTTAAGTGAAACAATAATCAAATAAATAATTCACAAATGATTTACATTAAATTTTCAAGTTTCTGTCTCACACTTACATGTCTTACATGGCATAAAGTTAGGCACTAGTAAAAATATAAATGTCCCAAGTGGGACTAAAAGCTAGTACATGTGTCTACTGTACACTTAAACTTATCCTAGATGTGATATAAAGCTATATACTTACTACGTACTTATTCTACGTAAGGCATAAAGCTAGCACATGAGTCTTAAGTACACGCACTGATCCTAGATGTGATATAACGCTATACTTACTACAAGCCATATGTTTGCAGTAAGCTTATGGGTGCTAATCCTTGTGAAACATGACGCTGACATGAAATGTGTATACAGTGCACTCACAAGCCCACATAAAGCTAAACATGCGGCTTCAGTACACTCAATAGCTCAGGTGGGACATTAAGCTAAGACATGTGGCTTGGCTACAGTACTCTTACAAGCCTATAAAGCTAAGGAATGATGTGTCTACCAATACAACTACATGTATATTCGGAAAGACATAAAGCTAAGGTATGTGTCTACCTACAGGTGTACGTACTATCACAGAAGGATCATTTAGCAAGGACATGTGTCTACAGTAACTTAATATCACAAAAGGTGGTATTGGGCAAGGACACGTGTCTACAGTACACTTGCTATTCCAGAAGGGGATTAAGCAAGGACATGTCTACAGTGAAACATGTGTCTCAAGGTCTATAGTCCTATAGTCTGTACAATATCATTCACAGATCTGGTTTTTGTATTTTAGTCTACCTTTTTTTAATATTTATAACAAATGAAAGTAAATATTTAATCAATCCAGTTCGATGTGCAAATGTGGAATGATTTGATTAGGTTTCTTTAAAGGTATATAATTCTAGAAATTAAACCTTCCTTTATCTGCTGATATAACTAAATTACAGTGATCCTGAATAAATGGCCTATTACCTATATATACGAAACTGCGTATAGAACCATCTGTTCAAATATTGTAAGGGTATGCCTCATAGTATCCTATTTCCATTTCCATCTGAAAAGAGCTACGGGTAGCAGTAGTTTTTCGTAAATTTGCACTCTATGATTAGATGGTGATTACAAAATTCTCAAAATTACTACCCAGAAAGCCATATATCAGGGTCTATGTGGAGAGAGAAGGGTGAGTTCGATTTGCTGAAAATTTCACATTTTTCACTATGTCATTAACAGTACAGTTAGCAAAAAAAAATGAAACATTCAAGTCAGAATTTATTTAATTCAGAACCTACACTGTGTACTTAATTCCCTGTCAAAAGAAAAAAAAGTCCTGGTAGTATTGTGATAGGTTGGAATGTGATAATAGGTCTCTGTGTGGGAGATAATTAGCTGGGTTTCATTTTATAATCGACTATTCATATGACTGCCAATTTGAGTGGAATTATACTCTTAATTTCAGAGATATTATATACTACAGTATTATATTATACACCACTATTTAATAACAGTGGTTTCGTAGCACAAATATTATATTATAGGTCATCTGAGTACAACTTATCTTTTTAACGTAGAACACCTCTTCTGTATATTATTATCTGTATAAGTTTTCAAGGTATATGGACATATCACTATCAATATGAACACTTCGCATCTATATGAATTAGTACATCTCGACGCCATTTTTGTATAGTACATCCCAATTCGTTGTTACATCTGTATGACTTACTTCATCTCACCTGTTTATCTGTATTACTTTTCTCTTAACCGTATGACCTAGTAGACCTTATCTTTCAGATATCTCATCTGCTTAGGGCATCTTATCTGTATGCCCAAATATATCTTGGTATATCTCACCTATATGACCTGATATATCTTGGTAAATCTCATCTGTATGATCTGATATATCTTGGTAAATCTCATAAGTATGGCCTGATATATCCTGGTATATCTCATCTGTATGGCCTGATATATCCTAGTATATCTCACCTATATAACCTGATATACCGTGGTAAATCTCATCTGTATGATCTGATATATCTTGGTAAATCTCATAAGTATGACCTGATATATCCTGGTATATCTCATCTGTATGGCCTGATATATCCTAGTATATCTCACCTATATAACCTGATATACCTTGGTAATCTCATCTGTATGATCTGATATATCTTGGTAAATCTCATAAGTATGACCTGATATATCTAGGTATATCTCATCTGTATGGCCTGATATATCCTGGTAAATCTCACCTATATGACCTGATATACCTTGGTAAATCTCATAAGTATGACCTGATATATCCTGGTATATCTCACCTATATGACCTGATATACCTTGGTAAATCTCATCTGTATGACCAGATATATCTAGGTACATGTATAATCTCATCTGTATGACCTGACATAGCTTGGTATATCTCATTTGTATGATGATGGTAAAAATAGAAATATTAATCTGAACTGGACTGATGTCATACAGATTATTACTAAAATATTACTACAGAATTCTGATTGCCCCTCGTGGCTATTTGATAAAAATAGATTCATGCTGTTTATAAAATATAAGATGACGGTTTGTTTGCATCAAATTTCGATAATTGAATTCTATAAATAGTTTGTTTATCGCTGGAATGACAATTTATACAATTAATGGTATTAGTTCAGATGACTGCATTTGAAACTTTATGTACTGAGTTAACAGTAGATACTGGATTGTGATTTAGCACAATGGTATTTTATGCGTTTAGCCTTAGATGGTCGTTGTCTATCAAATACCATTATCCTATTATAAACTTTGTTTTGATATAATATATAGGCATATTGCTGTATGTTGTAGGGCTGAATGATATTTTACAAAGGGTGCCCAAATCAAAGAGAGAGCGGCCCTCGTGCCCTCGGTTGATAAAAACATATGGTAGGGGCAGAATTTATCAAAATTCTCCAACAAATCTTGATGTCGATACCCCTGCTTGTAGGATCTGATGATTCATTTCAAGCAACTTGTAGGCTAGACGTGGACTCTAGTTGTACGTGACCTCATATACCATTATATATGTTACTTGACCTATTAAGTTATTAAGGGAATTGTGTGGGCTGATTACTCATATTGTCTGTTCTATTAAATTTCATCTCAATATAGAAATCATTACATCTATTCCAGGATAATGAAGTCAACTGGGTTGTATTCGGGTCACTGTGTCCAGTGGGGGCGATTAAAACACTGTTGCTTCAAACTAAGTGTCTTTTATAAAGATGCTAGCCGCATCAATTTATTTTGTATCAACATTGACATTGTATCGCATCACTTCACTTCTCTCATTTGGGTATCTGACTACCTTTTATCTTGCCACTTCGTTCTGTTGTTACCCACCTTAATAACCTTATTGCTGAAGAAACATGGTAATACCGAGACAAAATCTTCGAGGGACGATTGAGAGGGAGGTGTATATACAGTACAGAATGTACAAGTTTGTCAAGCATTTTAAGTTTTTTAAATGGTATCTTCCATTTGTACACACAAACGCAAATGGCAGAAACCCCAGAAACCCCACCCTTTGGCGACTTACAATTACGTGTTGGAGATTTTGAACAAGGTCAGTCACTCAGACATAGCTTAAATAGAAAAAATAGTCAAAAAATTAGTACATTTAAATTGTCTGAAAGTCCTGTAAAAGAAAATACAAATGTTTTTAGATTCATTCTATTTCAAATGTCACTTAGGCCTAATGGTTATTTATGCACTTTAGAATTTGAAGCCACATAATGTGGTAATACAAGGCTAGTTTAGTCACATAAGTTTGTTTATCATTATGCCACTATACAAGAAGTATTGAATTTTTCATTAACCTACTTCTTTACATTTTACCTAAAACTACAATTTTTTGGCAATGTCATACAAGGTGCTTGATTAGATGATTAGATTTTACAGACATCATAATTAATATCCTCATTTGAAGTACATTAACCTATTTCAAAGTTTGATTTTTTCCAACCTACCTCTCTTAAACGCGTACGCGTCGTTCTGCAGTTCTACTAATTTTCGTAACGCAATGTCTTTCAATAAATAGTCTGACATGTTATGACTTTTAAAACAGTACGATTATAGAATGTACCAGTCTGGAGAAACCTAACTCTGTAAATAACCATACAATTACCCTTATTAACATCTAAATTTAGTAACTTTAATTTTATTTACTCTCCTTTATTGTCGTATTCTATTCTTGGACTAAATTTTTGTTTCAGGAGACTGTACACTATTGTACTGTTAACAGAAAATTTTCTATGTTTAGCAGCGATTTCATGACTTGACATTTAACTTATGCATCACAACACGAACAAAGTAAACCTATAAAATTCGGCATTGATATGACACTATTAAATCTAGTATACGGTATAGCTAGGAGTACAATGTGTTATTTTGATCAAATGCCAGTATCCGTAGCGAATGTCAAGATGTATCAAATTTAATCTATCCGTCAAAACGGTACCTACTCTAGGTGTGATAAATATATGATTAATTAATTTAAATGTGCTACCTAATTAGCAGCTGTTATCAACCCATATCCTATATTTTTAGGTTTTTGTATAACTACGATGGGGTTATTCCAAGTATAAAATGGGCCTGGGGACGACGATGGACACTCGTCGAAACGTTGCATAAAACTGTTACCATTAATTGGCGTTCAATGATATATATCGTACTCACAATTACTCAATGTCATTAAAATACTCTATAAATTCATTAATAACACGAATTAATTGATAGTTCGTAGGATAGTCCAAGCCCAAACCATAGCAAATTATCACCGTACCAAGCATTGTTGTCTATAGCCTTAATTATTCATTGGAAGGATTTGGCGTAATTTCTAATTGGCTAATGTAAACCATCTGTTAAGAAAGATAATCTTACATATTTAAGCAATGAACGATGGACCCACTGCAGTTACAGTGATATGAATACATTGGGCAAGGTGCCAAATTGAATGAGCTGCCAAAGGCATTTCTTGTCAAAGGGTTCACTGTGACAAATACAGTGAGAGTGGAAATATTATGTTATGTAATATGTACATTTACCGTATTAAGTCTTCAACGTTTGTTAAATTGTACACATTCAGCAAATTTCATCACGCATCAGAGAATTTTCTTTTATATATATCAAATAATACGAATAACCATTCTGTGTCTCAATGATCAGACGACTATTAGAACACGCCCTTCTTACCACATTATTTCTCTTTTCTGTTTCAGGCGGCACAACAAATAAAGCATACTAGGAAACAGAAAAAGTTCGGTAAAAAGCATGTATTAACAGACGAAAAAATACAAGGTAACCGTTTTATAGTGGATACGCTATTGACCTTCTAACGTCAAGTTGGACTGTCTGTTGTTCAGAAACTAAATTCAGCTAATGGAATGGATTTTATATTTTTACACTAATATGAGATTTGTGAGGATAAATGCACAGAATAACATTACTTGTACGGATCAGACTATATTTGCCGCTTTTAGAAAAGTAAAAACAAGTTCGACTGGTACAAAGTATTAAATAATATTAGGTTTGGCATAACCATAAAACGTTTTTCTGAAATATAAACCGTTTAATGTTTACATTTTCATTTTACTAAATTACCAGACTGTAAATTCTTGTTTTAATTGCAGAACTGCACGAAACATTCAGTGTATTTGATAAGAATGGTGATGGAATGATAACAACAGAAGAACTGGGTACTGTTATGATATCATTAGGTCAAAGGCCAACTATACCAGATTTAAAATCCTTTATTAGAAAGGTCGACCATGATCGTTAGTATGCGTTTCTTGTATTTATCAAATTTAGGCAGGCCAGCTTCCCAACACTGGAGGTACAAATATTTGACAAACTGACTCAATGGAGGAACAACTGTCTAGGTTATAGAGACGTCACAGTCGCAAGACTGTCATGGAGCGTCTGAAAGGGTTTTTCCAAGAAAAAGTTCGATAAATTGAATTAATTTGTTGCATTCTGACACATATTTTTGAGAAAAAATCGTATGTAAATAATATTCTTTAATTTGTTAAAAATAAACTGCGGGTGTAAACTATTTTCTAAGGTACTTAGGGTACCCCCACCAGACCGCCACTGCTATGTTATAAATCATTTCAAATTTTCAATAGGATGTTTTGTTAGAAATTCAATGAAAGTACCAAATAATTTGGATAAGACATTAAGATGGAAGGGGACCAATCATTTCAATTTCTAACCTTTTAAATGCTACGTATAACGTATACCTCGATGTCAGGCGTAATAAATTTGGTTCCAGTTTTGTAAAAATGGATTGATTTAACTGTGCTAAAAAGTTGATTTTGTTTTATATGTTTGCTTTATTGGGAGGAATATCGACTGTTGATTGAAGGATCGCACTGAACACATGCAGGTGATTATATGTACCGGTTTGACTTTACAAAATTTGCAGGGTATAGGCTTCTATGTCATTATGCTTTGTCAATCTTGATGCTTGATATCAAGAAATAATATAGATAAAATTAGACATTGCAGTATACATTTCAAATGTTGTAGGAAGTGGTACCATTGATTTTGACGAGTTCCTTCAAATCTTCTCCAGAAAGATAACAATGGACCCAGAAAAAGAGTTGTACGAAGTGTTCCGAGTGTTTGACGATAACAAAGATGGGTTTATATCACCAACAGAGTTGTATAATGTTTTAAAGAAATTGGGAGAAAATATCACTATGGTATGATCTTTGAATGGCATTTACTAAAGGTCTTGGATATTATTAAAAAATCCTTATGGATTACGATTACTGACTTTATTTGAGCGAAGTTTCGACCAGTGTTCTCATTCATTGCTTGATAAAGACCAGAGAACACTGGTCGAAACGTCGCTCAAATAAAGTTAGAAATTGTAATCCATAAGAATTTTTTCATTACATCACTATGGTATGTTTTATTTCTGAAAGAGATAAGTTTGCCATTTTTCGGGGCTTGATTTGGGTTATGAATTATATAAAAAAGGCTTCAAAAGTAACAGCAAAAAATAGCACAGTTCCTTCAAAAATACATCTTTCACTTTCTTTTTCTTTTGTATTTTATATATATATATATCGAGGAGTCTCAGGAATTGACGAGTTCTCAATTTAACATTCGAACTCGGATAATTCTGGACACTCGTGCATTTGCACTACTACTGATTAGCCTTGCTAAAAATAAGTTCCCATTTCTGACACTAGAGAACGATTAAGCTACAGTTACATGACGTGTGCGTAACTCAAACTCAAAGTAAAAACTTGATTACATGTGTACGTCAGATGATTCCGCGAAACTGTCCCTTTTACAGGTCTAAAAATATTACATATTTCTACCGTGTTTCACTCCATTAGGTAAACCATGTATTAAGGAATATTAAGAGTGTGATTTGCAATCACCGTACGTTTACATACGATTTTTTCCATTCGGAAATCTATATCAGTGGCGGAACCACGGGGGGTTAATCCGGCTCCGCCACTGCCATGATCCTTCCATCCTTTATATTTGGATGAAGTGTAATTATGATACAATGTACTTTTACGTAAAATGTATCAAATATGTGTTATTCTGAGAAACCTTGACATACTGAGTCACGTGTTCGGCTATTATCCGGAGGCCCACATATAACAGTGCCATACTTGAGTCATATTCCAAAAGATGACAATCTAATTCAAAGTAGATTACAACGCTCTCATATAAAAAATATCCTTTATATGAATTTGAAAAGTACATATTGATTTTTCTTATATACATTGTTTTTGAACAGAAAGAAGCTCAAGAAATGGTGAAAGAAGCTGATTTAAATGGCGACGGAAGAGTAGATTATTCTGGTACGTATTAAATGAATACATTGGACAAATCCTGATTCCCGAAACAATTTAAAAGAAAATACCTTTTATATCTCATGATAGCTGCCAATGTAGAGTGAAACTTACTACCAATTGCTGACATTACTACCAAATGCTGAAATTACTTCCAATAGTTGACATTGTCACCCGTAGTTGACATTGCTGCCATTAGTTAACATTGCTGCCATTAGTTGACATTGTCACCCGTAGTTGACATTGCTGCCATTAGTTGACATTGTCACCCGTAGTTGACATTGCTGCCATTAGTTGACATTGTCTCCCGTAGTTGACATTGTCACCCATAGTTGACATTGATATCAATAGTTGACATAGCAACAAATAGCTGAAATTACTTCCAATAGTTGACATTGTCACCCATAGTTGACATTGCTACCAATAGTTGACATTGCAACAAATAGTTGACATTGCAACAAATAGTTGACATTGCAACAAATAGTTGACATTGCTACCAATAGTTGACATTGCTACCAATAGCCAGAATTACGGGATTTGTCAGTAATCGTCGTGGTTTCTGTGCGTATCATCCCATTTTTTTTCAACCTATTCCTTTCCTTTTAGCCTGCGCCTCTTCATATATATAGGTACTTACGTTTGGAGAGATGCAGCATCTAGTCAGATGTTTTTTGTCTTTTGTATTTTCTTTTAAAGATGGGAATCCTTACTTAATTAGCTTATTACAATTATGAAATTTCCCAAGCTTTAGAACATATCTGTTCATATAAGTATTAGCCTCACAATAATTGAATATATTTAAGAATACATTGAAATACAGTAACCCATCTTTAAAACAAGATTCGCGTGAAGTGACTATTTGATTATTAGCACTTATTTCAATAGAGAAGAATATATAAATCTTACCACCCACTAACAATTATAGCAATGGATTCGTGTCGTTTTTCTCTTCAGTTTACGACTGAACGAATGAATATAAATTTGACGTTTTAAGATATTTCCTTGAACATGTTATTTTTCAAAAATAAAAAAATTCCAACAGGAGACATTTTTCTCCATAATGTTCATCTTATCCTTTTGACATGTCGTAAATCTTATTTGAAAAAAAGTCTTATTTTAAATCAACTCTTACACAATATGTCATCAAAGTGAGTGGGAAACAGTCAGATAAAGTGAGAGATAAATCGGGATAACGTGCCCTCTGGAGATAATATATTATTATTTTATAATCTAAAGCACGTGGACTCCAGCAACATTCAAAGTTCACAATGTCAATAGAGCAGGATTGCCAGATGTGTTTATCACCAACAATTATAGTGACAGTCACAGAAGGATTGGTTGACATTTAACAATTTGATGCCACACAATTTGAAAGGAAATATTTGATTCCCTTAATAGGCTATTATTACTCTTCATCTGACCTTAAAGTGAGGCTATTGGTCGTCTGCATTGGTTTATGTATGAGATCTGAAACATAGAGTAATAATACAGGGTTTAATTTAGATTAAAATATTTGATTAGCAATTTAATTACACCAATCTTCAGTTTTGTCAAATCAAGTTAAATTTTGATTAGCAATATATACAAATTCGGTAGCAATTCAAAATGTTCTTGTTTTAGACTGGATCTTGCCAATGACGTTAGTTCTTAAAGGTAATAGATGCCACTGGGAGTTATATTTCTAAACTTTCACGAGAAAATTATTTTTAAAATATACAATTTGATTTGTTTCACAGATCGGCTTGATAAATTTTGATTTTGGCTTATCAGTGGAAATATTGGATCGCAAAAGGGGTAATCTTGACTCAAAACAAACATAGTAGACGAATAAGACATCTAAATTGACCCTCTGAGAAGTCTTTTAAACAGCTATACAGTTCAGTTTTAACAAATCCTTTTTTTGGTAGCAATTGACAACAATGTCAGTTATTGATGGCAATGTCAGCTAACGGTGGCAATGTCAGCTATTGATGGCAATGTCAGCTGTTGGTGGCAATGTCAGCTATTGGTGATAATGTCTGCTATGGGTGGTAATGTCAGCTATTACAGGCAATGCCAGCCATGGGTGGCAATATCAGCTATTGGTCTCAATGAAATCTATTGATGGTAATGTCAGCTATTGGTGGCAATGTCAGCTATTGGTGGCAATGTCAGCTATTGGTGGCAATATCAGCTATTGTTGGCAATGTCAGCTATTGGTGGTAATGTCTGCTATGGGTGGTAATGTCAGCTATTACAGGCAATGTCAGCCATGGGTAGAAATATCAGCTATTGGTGTCAATGAAATCTATTGATGGTAATGTCAGCTATTGGTGGCAATGTCAGCTATTGGTGGCAATGTCAGTTATTGGTGGCAATGTCAGCTATTGATAGCAATGTCAGATATGAGTGACAATGTCAGCAATTGGTGGCAATGAAACCTATTGATAGTAATGTCAGCTATTGGTGGCAATGTCATCTATTGGTGTCAATGTCGGCTATTAGTGGCAATGTCAGTTATTGGTGGCAATGTCAGCTATTGGTGTCAATGTCGACTATTGGTGTCAATGTCAGTTATTGGTGGCAATATCAGCTATTGATAGCAATGTCAGCTATTGGTGTCAATGTCAGCTGTTGATGACAATGTCGGCTATTGGTATCAATGTAGGCTTTTGGTGTCAATGTCAGCTATTGATGGCAATGTCAGCTATTGGTGTCAATGTCAGCTGTTGATGACAATGTCGGATATTGGTATCAATGTCAGCTTTTGGTGACAATGTCAGCTATTGATGGCAATGTCAGCTATTGGTGTCAATGTCAGCTGTTGATGACAATGTCGGCTATTGGTATCAATGAAGGCTTTTGGTGTCAATGTCAGCTATTGATGGCAATGTCAGCTATTGGTGTCAATGTCAGCTGTTGATGACAATGTAAGCTATTGGTGTCAATGTCATCTATTGGTATCAATGTCGGCTTTTGGTGTCAATGTCAGTTACTGGTGGCAATGTCAGCTATTGATGGCAATGTCAGCTATGAATGACAATGTCAGCAGCACAGTCAGCTATTAGTGGCAATGTTAGCTATTAACAGCGCTGTCACCTATAGGTAGTGCTGTCACCGTTTGCTGTCACCTATTGATGGCAATGTCTGCTAGTGGCGACAATGTCAGCTATTGGTAGCAATGTCAGGTCATCTATTGCCAAAAATGTCAGGTCAGCTATTGACAACAATTACAGCTATTGATAGCAATGTCAGCTAGTGGTACCAATGTTAGCTATTAAAAGCAATATCAGTTTTTGGTAGTAATGTCAGCTTTTTGAAGCAATGTCAACTATTTGAAGCAATGTCGGCTATTGGTAGCTATTACAGTATTTGGTCGCAATTGCAACACGCGAGAATTAATCCCTACCCATTGGAATTCGGATAACTTCAATTTCTCACCAAAACACCGTCAGAATCCAATCCAATAACGTTGTTGTCTCCCTTTGTATATTTCAGAATTTAAAGCTATACTGACATCACGGTGATGTTGTGTTCCATGGAACCACTTTAACTTTAACTTTGACTGTTGTTCATTGAATTATTGTCGCTGATGTTGTGTATTTTCAGCCATTGATACAGAAGATGCCTTAAAATTGGAGGATTATTTTGATATTGTTATATTTTCATATTTTCTTATCGTTGTTATTAATATATTAAGACTATATTTATTGACTCGAACCGTTTCGGTTTAGTTTAAAAATAGGGCTACAAAAAAGGAATCACGTTGCATGGAAATCACCATTAAGGAATTCCTCTCTTACTTTTTGTTTAACACATTAAAGGTACTGTAAATAGGTTTTAGTGGCATTGTAGGAACCACAGACGTCCGATTGAAAATTAGAATTATGCAAATTGATGCTATTAGTGTCCCCGATACACATATGAAATTTAGAAAACCTCTTTACAATCCCTTAAGAAACTTTATTATTTCCTTGCAGTTTTGTGAACGAGTTGTTAAGTAAACTTTTAGTGGCTAAAAAGTTGACGGGTGGACAGGGGTGACAGTGCCCCCTTGTTAACCAATAATATTTTCTTACTTAGAACCTAGCGCTAGCTGTCAGTCAAAACGCCCCGTGCTTGTGAAATTGCTAATAATTTGAAGTGAGCCACAAAATGAAAATTTAGCCAATGCTGAGTTAATTTTTTTATGTATCTCGGTAGATTATCAGTTATACCATTTGAGTATTTTAATACGATTTTTAATGTTTTGAGCGATTAAAAGTCTTCAGATTCCATCTTGAGTACTATCCCCGAAGTTCCAAAAAGGCCATTATTGTATAACAGGACATCTTGTCCATGTGACTTATAATATTTGAATGAGAGGTAGGCTTATTCTTACCTGGCCATAAATAGTATGGTATACGTTAGTATGCAGCCTTTTGATTGGTTATAACATAAGCCTTTGATGGAGTATCTAGTGGAACGAAGGTAGTTACAGATCATTGGAGACTGGCGAACACAAAGTAATGATTGATAAGAAACCCAAGCACGAATAATCCGAAAAGAAATTCAATATAACAATATTGTAAAACATTGGTAGCAGCAAATGAACTTTTCATATGAGGTATTATATCAATTATAATTGAGGGGTATTTTATTAAGAAAAGTGGTATCAGTTGTGTAAGAATACCCTCTGGTGCCAGACCCACATAATATTACACACGAAATGTCTAATACTCAACTATAGACTTTCAAAAATGTTTACCCTCCTTAAAAATTTGTGATGGTACTTCTGTGGGTTTATTGGGAGTTCATGGGAAAGTTATTCTAAAAGCAAATGAAGAAGTTTTATTTGAACAAAAGGTCTATTCTACAAAATAAATGCAAAAATAACAGAAAAACAATAATACAGCAAAATCAGATATTCAATTGCACAAAACTGTAAAAGTTTTATAAATACTGAAGTTTTTGAGTAAATACTTTAATGAGATAAATGAGAACACGTCGTGATGTTCGCAGTATATAATACATGACGTAACACACTGATAACAAAATCTACGCAGTATATATTATGTAATTACAATATCATATATCATATATAATGTTACAATAAAAAAGACATATGACATTTCATGCAATTTTTAAAATACTGATTTAAACAAAATTACTTACAAAAATCGATCCTTTTTGTGGCCTGTTCTGTTTACCATTACCAAACACTTCACATCTATACTTAAGAAACATTTTTGTGAAATATACGAACACTAAATAAACAATGTCACAAAAGAAAAATGCAGTTTTGGCGGGCACTTGACATTAATTATATCTTAAACATTACGGTATAATTCGAAATATATAAGTATATTACACACTACATGTACTTCATAGGCAAGCATTTAGCAATTAATCATCATTTCATACCACACAGCCACACTCACTGTAAACATAAAATATATTTCACAAATCCCTCCAACATTCATGTTACAATCAAACTATTGTGTTTATAACAACACTATATTTGATTGTATTCTGTTTTGATTCCACGACGTAATGTACAGGGTAAACCTATAGAGGTATCAAAACACAACACACGCGACGTTATCTGAGGTTAAATCCAGCATGATACATTGAATACAGCAAACAAACTTCACGAAGAGTCACCTGTAACCAGTAGCTGTTGGATTTAACACAATCAGGCCGTAATACATAATGTCAAGATTTTACAAATTTCGTCTTATACCTTGACTCCAATACCAACTTTTTGTATCACAGAAGGCTTCGATTGGTTGGATTGCACGTTAGCGAAAAGGCGGCCAATCGGAGTCCTCGCAAAAAGTTTGTAAACAATCTGCTATAATGCCGATGACTCTCTACGTACAATCCAACCAAATCACTGCATTTACAAACTTCCGTGATATCAAAAATGTTGGCTATTGCAGTGTAGGCATAACGAATGGTTAAATATTACTTATCGTTTATACATATCTATTATATTGACATTAAAATCATGGGGAGTGTTTTCAGTATAAGGATGAGTATTGACGAAATTATCTCTAATAGGGGCCGCTGTGGGTAATCCGCCTGGAGATCTGTGGTTATGCCAATTATTGATCGGTGTCGTAGGCATCCTCAGTGAATCTGAGGAACATCTCTGTAGAGGCTGATGGATGCCTTGTTGATTGGATTGTGAATAGTATGGGCCTCCTTGTGTATAATTATATGGTACAATCGACGGATTGCAAACTGGACAGGAAGTTTGTCTTTCTGTCTCTCTGCGGTGAAGATCTATGAAACTTTGCGAGCCACATCGGCAAGATTCGGGGTTGGTAATGATATTCCCTTGACTGATGCCGAACCCACAAGAACATGGATGAGCTGATGGGTTAATGTCGGCATTATAATATAAACCATATGGTGGATCGACTTGGCGGAGATTGCTAGTACATGTATTTGGATTTCTAGAGAACTGCGTAGAATCGGGTTCGTAAATCTGTTTTGGTCTCGTCTGACTAGAAAAACTGTTTGTTGGCCATGACTGGGATAAATCTGGACAAGCAGGAAGTGGTGGATAATAAGAACTTGAAGCAGCTCCGTTTGTTTGGTAGTGTAATACTGGTATAGGTGGGGGCCCAGAAGTTCTATTACCGGAAGTACTCAGCATCAGTGTATTGAAGGCTTGCGAAACCAAACCATTCATAATCACCTCATAACTGGAAGAGTCAACGTCGCCATTTTGGAAAATAACTATCAATGGCATCAAGGAAATAGTCAAAAGTGTCTGTGTTTCGATTCTTGATTCTTGATCCTTTGCGAGACTGATTTTGTCTCTTCCGGGAATTTTCAGTTCTATGAACTTTTTATCGTCCAGATTTTTCACTGTTACTATCATCTCTCCATTTTCGCCTGTTCCACATTTCAGCTCCATACAATTTCGCGAAAAATCTCTATCAAACAGACATACGTCGGCTTGTGGAGCTCTTGCAAACCAAACTCGATCTCCAGTATGCTTCCTAATTGTTAGACTGGGAAATTTTTGAACTATGGTGGAGGGTAGATCCAATGAATAGCACAAGGTAATTTTATGAGGATGATCTCTAGTATTACTGTTGAAAACTTCGTCTTCAGGCCCATCTTTGGTTTTGGAATTGAACATCTCTGAAGTTTAGAAAAAAAGTAATCATTCATTTACTTTTCAGAATGTTACAAATATGACGATGGTATAAAATGAAAATAAATCAGTGTAGAGAACATTGTTTAAAATTCTCTTAAAATCGAGATACGAAGAATTCCAATGGCAAATTTGCACCCTCCCACTAGAAGAAAAACGAAAAATGTATTACCCATTCTCCGCCTTCCTATATTAGGAGATTTTCCGC